GCTACAGCGCCTCGGCTGCAGCTCAGCCTCAGCTCAGCTCAGCTCAGCTCAGCTCAGCTCAGCTCAGCTCAGCTAGCGCTCAAGACAGCGCCCAGCACAGCAGCCGCTACCTGCAGAGCCAGAAACTAGAGTCTGCAGAGACGCGGCCGTCTTTGCACTAGTGGTGGGCCTGTGCCTGCGCCTACCCCTGCACTTTGCCTTGGCGGCTTACCTGAAACGGACTGGAGTCTTGAGGATCTGCGAACGGATTGCTGTCAAAGTTAGACATCTTAAGTGTTTCCCCTGCTCTCAGTCGGCTGGAAAAATCACACGAATGTAAAATAACTGTTTCCAATAAGCTGTAATTCTCGAATGTTTAGCTGGGTAACACCTCCCAATTAACACACAGATTAGACGGCGGAAGTTGTAGTGCAGCCAAATAGTGCTGAGAATTATGGGATACTCTGGTCGTGTCACATAGATTTGAGCATGCGCTCTAGATCTTGTGTCCACAAGATAATGGATTGAAAATGACATCATAGGCATGTGATGTGAAGTGGGTAAAAGAATAAAATATGATTCCATATAAAATGAATTACCTCATTTCAATTCATTATTTAGTCATCGCCAAGTTTGAAAGACATTGTAGATTTACTCGACTCTACCATTCCAATTGATTTTCTTGTTCCCACAATCAGTTTCTCAGGGGTTTCTCATCAAACTGACCCATGCAATGCTGCCAATGTGTCTGCTTTCGCCCACCCCGCCTCCCTCCCCTGGAAACGTTTGAATCTTTCAAGTCAATTTGCTTTAAAATCTTACATTTTTTTATTTTTGCCTTTCATGATTATTATTTGGTGTTGTTTTGTTTTGTTCAGATTTGTTTTGTTTCGTGTATATTTCTTTTCTATATTTCTTGTCTTTTTTTTATTTGTTTGCACTTTATTTATGATAAGACCCCTTCCCCCGGTCATTTTTTTTTCCTCAGACGTATTTCATTAACCAATCGGCATCGTAAAGAGAAACCCCTTTCCTGTATTTGAGTCCTTGTTCCCTTGGTTTATGAAACATGTTATAACTTGTTTTTAATTTAAACTTAAGATAATTATATGACAGATAGTTGCCACTTGCCGGTGACCATGCAGGTTCCCCAATCCATCAGAGGGGCGGATCTAGCTTTTTGCTAAGGGGGGGGGGGGGGGGGTTGACCCAGCAAATTTGAAAAACGCGCCGACCAATATTTCGCTCAGTAGGGGTAGGGGGCAGGGGGTAGAGAATACCAGAAAAAAATCTTCATTTTGCCCCCCCCCCCGAATTTCAAAAAGTGCCGACCAATATTCGGGGGAGGGGGGTGGAAAGCACTACAAAAAAATCAATTGGCCCCCGACATTAAAACAAAAATGGCCAGACCAGGGGGGGGGGGGTAAAACCCCCTAACCCCCCCCCCCCTAGATCCACCCCTGCATCAGTATCTGATGTGCCCTTATAGTTATACTACACCTGTTACAACGTTACACAAAACAGAAACAAAACAAAAATCAGTGTGTCCTCTTTAATATTTACGCTACATCTACTATAATTTATGGTATATTTTTTTCTTCATCAATTTCAGTTTACCTTTAATCAAGCTAAAATTCGACACGAAATTTGATGCCTGTCCCTCCTATACAGTGGCCTATCCAGGGGGCCCGCCCCCCCCCCCCCCCGGGGGGGGGGAAACACATTTTTGGAGATGCCCCCCCTCCCCCTGGCGGTCAAGGGGGGGGGGGGGTGCGATTTTTCAAACTTTCGAGGGCCAAACAAGAATTAGTGCTCACAACAGACATTGCATCCCCGCCTCCTCGAGCCCCCCCCCCCCCCCTCCCCCCGCCTCCATACAATTTTCTTTCTCCTAACGTTGCCTAATGCTTCTCTCTCTCTCTCTCTCTCTCCCCCCCCCCCATCCCAAATTTATCTCAGAAGTTAAATTTTGCATCAGTCTGGCACCCATCAAGTGTAAACATAAACCTACAGGCCATTTTGTTTCGAAGATTTGTGAGAAAGCGAAGCGATCGAGCAAAAAGAAATTACATGTAATTTGGTAGAAATTTAATGAAAATGCACTAAAATAGACAGTCATGAAATATATGAAAATTGCGCATGCGGGCATACACCTTGCTACCAAATACATGAATACAAAATTATATCATACTATATGTTATAACTCCCGTATAGGCCTACCTATATAAGTTGTCTGTGTCAGACATTTACATCAATATATTTTCATTATTTAATTTTCATCATCATTGTCATCAACATCATCACCATCATCGTCATCATCATCAGTTTTTGTTAATTTTGTAATCATTCACCCACGCCGTGCTATCAGTGGAACGAACGAGGGTGGTAAAATTGAAATTGTGAGGTAAAAAAGATGCAGGCCTAAGATGTATTCGGGCATCCATAATGCTGCCCGAATATATGACGATACTCGGGCACCCCGCTGTCGCAGAGAAGAACATTTGGGCACCTCCAAATATGAGGGTATTAAGGCATTTCGCTGCCTGAAATCATCCTGTTCCTAAATGTTTCGAACGAGTAAAGCAAGCGAGGAAGATAGTAATCATTTTTGAAATATTATCTCCTTATGAAAAAACATAGCGGTATTTTGTTTTCACGAAATTGACGTTATTCCAAAATAAAATGTACGTATATAACTAAATTATTTATCGTGCGACAACCCCGTTATGTCTTGCGGCACCTATAGGTTGAAAACGCTGGTCTACACAATTCGTTGACCCCCCATATAAAATTTAAACGTGGTTTATTTCTTATTCGATACCAGTGGTATACAAGTGTTGCTGAAATGACATGATTTTCCGGGTTTTTTCTCTCACTTTTGCCCATTATGCCAGAGGCGGCACTTTTTCAGGTACTCCCCAAAAGCCCTTTTCTCTTCTAATAAATGTCCTTTTCCTCTCTTTCTATTTCTGGTGAGTACGTCTTTTCAGGTGCGAGAAATTCCCCTTTTCACCTCTGATATTTTTGCCCTCTTTATTTTGACTCGTGCCCGTTTCCTTTTTAATTAGTGTGCTTTTTCCTTCTTAAGAAGAACCCCCTTCCCTTTCTCTTAAATGCCCCTTTTCACCTCTTATAATTGCCTCTTTTATTTTGACACGTGCCCCTTTTCCTTTCTAATGGTATATTTCCTTAGGCAGTGCCCCCTTTTTTATATGAGCCCCTCCCCCTTATCAAAATGCCCCTTTTAACATCTGTTGATCGTCCCTTTTCAGGTGCAAGAAGTGCCATTTTCACCTTGCCCTTTTTACTTTGACACGAGCACCTTTTCTTTTCTAACTGTCCTTTCCCTTCTGATAAGTGCCTCCTTTTACTTTTCCATAACATGCACCCCCTAATTCAAGGTGATTTAGAGCCCCTTTTTCTTTAATTTCCCTATATAGAGCTCGCTCGCTACGCTCCCTCCCATTTATAGATGCTCTATAGTATGTTACTTATGAAAGAACTTTTCACTCTTTCTTCATTAGATGGTGCTAAATACCCATAAGTTTTTTTTCTTCCTTCTTTATTTTTTTGCCCCGTGGGACCTCACAAATCTTAACATTTTTGCTCGCTCGCTCGAAAATTCAGACTGTTACACCCAACTGCACAGTATATTATGTTGCTTAATAGTAGTATCTTGCCACGTAAAGGATTTAAAAATGATCCGCGATTTCATCCCTGGTAGTCCAATCGCAATCGTGAAGTTGTCTATTGTCTTTTGTCTCCTATTGACAATTTTTGGCGATCAAGAGTTTGGCTCTGCAATTCTTTTCGCGCCCTTTTAGTTTAGGAACTCCTTCTGAGTCCGAATATCAGGCGCGCCACCGATGGTCAAAGCGCGCGCTTTACAGGGTCTTTGGAAGTAGGCATGATTCCCCTTCTCAAGTCATTTAGGAGTAGCCTATTAATGATGGGAGGAATGTATACAGTCGTGGGCATAGGGCTTCTAGGTCGATCTCACTCTAACCAAAACCAAGCCAAACCTGACCCTAACCCTAATCCTGAAATCAAATTGCAACAAAATAGAGTTCTATTAAACCCCGGACTCGGACCAGGGTACATGCCGTGGTCTCCTCCGCCATCGATGGCCTGCGAGAGATAACAAGAAAATCAATTACACTACATGGACATGCACAGCGCAAATATTGATTTTCCTCCGGCCAAACCCACCCTATGGTATGCAAATAGGTAACTTGGTTGGTAATCACTTAATATGCATTGATCGTTGAATAAAAAGACACATAACAAGAGAGTGCGTGAGAGAGGGCATTGTACTAGTGATCGCTCCATTAGAGGCTCATACCATCACGAGCCTAGTAGACACCGGATGGATCAGCTTGGTTTGGTTTTGAGTCGGAAAGCCAATTGTTCTGTTCAAACAATTTATCCGGCTTTGCAGTTATCAAAATTATACAAAAATAACCATATCATCAAATAGTCATCCAGTGATTCCATCATGCAACGTTGGGTAATATATAGCGTTCTTCTTATATGTTCTTTACTTTCTTATTATGAATTTATGTTTTCCTTTTTTTTTTTATAAATGCAGTTATGTATTTTGTTTAACATAATCTATTATCGTGCATATTTTATTCACAAATTTGGTTTTCTTTTTGTTTTCTGACATGGATAGTTATATGCTTTGCACTGAATTTAGTAAGCATGCCATATGTTTGTGTTCTATTACTTCTATGTGGAATATATTTCAGGCCCGCAGCTGCAGGAATAACAACATTGGTATAGAAAATTGTGTATGAGCGTAGAGTACATGTAGTAGCTAGGGGGCGCGGCGTGTATAATGTATGTGTGGTATTCGACCGGCTAGTCTTCGCTCGCGCTGCGCTGGGTGGCACACACTAGCTGTATACGGTCTCTGTGTGGAAATATACGCTACGTTATAAATATAATAGCATCTCGCATCATTAATGTAATTCAACGACCTATAGCTACAATCCTTTATTTTAATGTCATTCTTCACACAGGACTACGAGAAAATGGCTGCGGACTCATCCAGGTCGTATGCTAACGAAAAGACCCCTTCTACTGGATCAGGAGAGGCTGATATCGCAGCTGATCCAGCAAGTGGAGGATTTTTCGCCACGGATTACAAAAAGTAAGGGAATTTACCTGTTTCTGTGTAGGCGTACCGTGCAGTCAGTGTAGTCACCGGTAGTGTCAGAAACTTAGATCACAAACCATGTCCATCATGGTCCATGAAGCAAGTAGAATGTACAGATCCAACTAAATAACTCTTTGATGTCAATGTGATTATTTCATTAAGTAAATGGAATGTACAAATTATTACAATTCAAATGATTCATGCGATTGCATGAGTTAGGCTGTAGATCTAATTGTAAATCTGGCTGTACTAGACTATCTAACTATTATTGTACGAAGCGAAGCCGGGTGTCGGGCTTTGTTTTGTACAAATTTTGTACAAGTCTAGGTGCATATAAACAGCATTAACGAGAGCGTACTGGATAGATCCTGTGAATTGTGTGATGAATGAATGAAAACAAGCATCATTTGTACAGTGTGAGTCAAAAAAAAGTTTACACCTAGAAAATTACTAATTATTTAAAAAATCATCCATGAACATTAAATTGTTATGTGTCTTATGAAAAAGTGTTTTATCCCAAATCATTTGGTACCGGCATTACGCTTGGATGAGCATGAGACATTGTTTGCGAGAGTGTAAAAATCGAATTGCGCCAAAGTTGCCTATGTGATGTTTGAATAAATCAATTGGGATTTGGGTAATAATTCTGTCTTTGCAGATCCAAATAACACCCCTAACAAAATTAATCATGCCACACATATCAAATATCGAATATCAAATATCAACGAACATTTGTGCGTGTGTGTGTGGGTGTGTGTGACTTTGCCCTTTGCAAAAAACATATGCAATGCATTTCATTTGATACATTCAATCCATTCTCTCAATCCGCTAATCCCAACATAATACATAATGAAGGCATCACTTTGGCGCAAGTCGATTTTTGCACTCTCGCAAACAATGTCACCTGTTCATCCAAGCGTGAACACATACCACACAAAAATGGTACCAAATGATTTGGGATAAAACACTCTTTCATAAGATTTATAATAATTTACTGTTCTTTAGATGATTTTAAAAATAATTTGAAATTTTCTAGGTGTAAACTTTTTTTTGACTCACACGGTATACAAAACTCCTAGATCTAGAGCCTTGTTAATTGATTTGATGTAAAAAAAGAGTTCATTGTAAATATTGTTTTGTCATTTGTGTCAGCATCGCTGACAAAGAAAACCTCAACTCCTAAAGTTTAATAGGCTAACTTTATAGCCCGCAAAGAAATATACAAATTCTATTATTTCTAAGACTTAGAGGAGTCTAGCAGTAGCAGACTTACTTCTCCTCGCGCTTGCGTTAATGCACAATGCTACAAATGTATTTTTTTTAATTGTATGATATAGAAATGTCTGATATGAATTCCATAAGTCAGAGCTAAAGGTACATGTAGATCAGTCATCTTCATCTTAACCTCCACTAACAGTATCACAGTGTAAGCCTCACATGACATACCGGTACTGCAATCTCACACAGGTTCGTACATTAACAGCTAAACAATTAGACATGCAGTAAATTACAGACAGTTAGTCGGTCAATGGCCTTTGTCCTATTTTAGACTACCATAACCATAATATCTACAGTAGGACTGTGGATCTGCATATTCGTTGTGGTAACATGAAACATCATAACATTTGTCTTTTGTTTCTTTTAAAATTTGTTATGCTTTTATTTATAGGCATGAGGATCTGAAAGCTATGCTGGATGGGAATAAAGATGGGCTGAAACTGGAAGCTATGAAGCGCATTATTGGCGTAAGTATGTTGTTAATGACAGGAAGATTTAAATTCTTCATTAGTATAGGCTAATATATGTACAGTATAAGGAAATAAAGAATAATATCAAATTTTCTGGGCACTATTTTATGTTTAGTGTACGGGCGCATCGAGTAGCCTACTCACAAGTGGCTTTTAATTTAATTGAGAGTGTATTAAAATCTCTTTTCAGAAGTAATATTAGGAACTCATATTTTGAATATAGTATTATTATCCCATGGGGCTAGCAACACACAAACCAATGTATTTTGGGGGTGATTGGTACAATTTAAAATGCAATCATGAGGATGTGCATTGTATGAATGAGTATGGAGTGAATGCTTGATCCATGCCTTCCAATCTTCATGATAAATATCTGTAGTACACTAGTGCTTTCTACTTCCTCTTCATAGAGAGGTACAGGAAACTTGCTCATGGCATGAAGAATGCATGTGTGAAATTGTAATCATTCCTACATTGTACACAAATATTGTAGGCTGTGATCCATTATGAACGAAATGATCCTTTTATCTGACTGTCCAAGGTTCAGAATTATTAAGTCATTCTTCTGGTGTGTTTAACAAAAACAAAAAAGTAGAATATTTCCTTGTTTCATCCAAAGTCTCTTTGCTCTCTAACTCTTCCACCCCATCCCCTATCTCTCTCTCTCTCTCTCTCTCTCTCTCTCTCTCTCTCTCTCTCTCTCTCTCATCCCCAAGCTATTCATTAACCCATTGTACTCTGTCATTTCCATAAGCTTAATACAGGAGCCCCCGTCCCCTGCCCCACCCCCTTTCCCGGTTCTTGTAGCCAATAGATGAAAAGTGGAACATAGTATGATAGTATTAGTTTCATTTGGCAAGTCCTATTATTTTTAAGTTGATAATAATAATTATGATATGTCTTGTTTACTCAGGGTAAACTAATAATGTTCTCCCTGAGGGCCCTGCAATCATATTTTACCCAGGCTTTAGCCAAGCTTCCATGCAAAGTGTTAAAGCAGTTAAGGAATTTCTTCCTACCTGGTACCCATTTACATCACCTGGGTGGAGTGTGGCAAATGTAGATCAATGTCTTGCCAAAAGACAATGTAAATGTTTATGCTCCACCTTCACAGAAAACTATATTATTGAGGTACATGTATGTCACCTTCAGTGTCATAGCAATCTGTGTGAAGTTACATGTCCATGATATAAATTACTTGACTCATGATGTTTACATATATATTTCATGACTTTTGCAGATGATAGCTAAAGGGAAAGATGCATCAGATCTCTTTGCAGCTGTGGTGAAAAATGTGGTCTCTAAGAATATAGAGGTAAGTTTGAGATTGCTTGTTCATGTCATCAATTCTATTTCAGTAGTGTCTACTTGATATGAAGGTAACAAATAAAATTGTAAGATTTTGTTTATTTTCCTGCATCCCTTTTTTACTTTCTCTCTCTCTCTTTATTTGCTACAAAACTTTAACTTAAAATTCAGTTAAACATTGATTTTTAGAATATATGTGCAGTAACGTCACACTGTGTAATTAAGTTATTGCTCTCTCTCTCTCTCCCTTCCGTCTTTGTCCTTCCCTCTCCCTTTCTCCCTCCCCAATCTCACGCCTTTTTTCTTTCTCCCTCCCCCAATTTCATTCCCCCCTCTCTCTCTCCTTCCCCCAATCTCACATGTTCTCTCTTTCTCCCTCCCCCAATCCCACTCCCCCTTTCTCTCTCTCTCTCCCTCACTCCCTCCCTCCCTCCCTCCCTCCCTCCCTCTTCCTCTCTCTTTTCTTCCCATTCTCACTCTCTCCTTCTCACGTTCCCCTCTCTCTTAACCTCTCTTCCTTCCTTTCTCTCTCCTCAGATCAAGAAGCTGGTGTATGTTTACCTGGTCCGATATGCCGAGGAGCAGCAAGACCTAGCCTTGTTATCTATCAGTACATTCCAGAAAGGGCTCAAGGTAAGATCTCAGTCTACCTGTGTATGACCAATATGCTGCAATACATAAAATGGTGTTTTTAAACCCAGGATTTGACCTCCTGGATGGTATTCTGAGCAAGATTTTTCCTCTAGAATATTTTTTAATTTAATCTTTGAAATACAATCAGTATTGTAAGACCACTGTTTATCTTGGATTTTATTGAAATTCCTTACTTCTGGCATGCCCATTAGAGTTAAACAGTGTACATGTATATACCTAGCGGATACAAGCCTTCAGGGAAAGTGACACTTGTTCTAATTCTATCAATTACATATCTTCATTTCATTGTATTATCTGTCTAGGATCCCAACCAGTTGATTAGAGCATCGGCCCTACGTGTTCTCTCCAGTATCCGTGTTCATATGATTGTCCCCATCATGATGCTAGCCATAAAGGAAAGTGTCAACGACATGTCACCATATGTCCGCAAAACTGCTGCTCATGCCATTCCAAAGCTGTATAAGTAAGTATCACTGTCCATTGTCTCTGGTTGATAGGTTATTTGCAAAACTTCATCACTTCATTTCTTGATATGTTTATTTTTATCATCATAATCATTTATTAAAGTCACATAGAAGTCAGCTCTAATGGGGAATTCGACACCGTTCGGGTGTTTACCCAATAACAGGTGTTGTCAATCACCAGGGTTAGTCTTCAGTTTTATGACCATTAGACCTTATGTAATGCTTCGCTTTTCCCTCACCTGAAGCTCTCCGAGCAATAAGGGGGTAATTCTTGACTGGCCAACGGGTTTGCTGTGTGCAGATTTGTACTCCCATTAATGGTATTTCCACCAAGTCTGTTGTCAGTGAATTATGGCCTTCTGCACATGAAAACTGCTGATCCAGTCCCTTTAAAGTCAGCATTTTCCCACTCACAAGGTATTATTGACTTTCTCGCCATGATGACACTCCCTCCCTCTCTCCACTTGTTCATGTTCCTCATTTAAATCAATCTTACTACTGTTAAACCTGTCTATTGCAACCACCCAAGGGAAACACACAAAGTGGTCTTTGTAGACAGGTGGTCTAAGTACATGTTTCAATGAGAAACCATTTTCAAGGGAAACAAAAAATGTGGTCATTGTAGACAGGCGGTTACCAAAGCAGGTTCTTTCCCATGGAGAAATCACTCATGTAGGCCTTTTGCCCCTACACATATATGACCCTTACCAGCACTGCAGTGCATTTTACAAACAACAATCTTTTTCTTCATACTCCATGCTGTATTTTAAAGTTTCACTGAGAGTACTCGCGTACATACCCATCCTACAGCATAAATAATTGCATTTGTCTTGTAATGTAAAGTAATTCCTCCATCCCTATCCCGTTTATTTTCCATACAGCATGGATCCAGAACAGAAAGATCAACTTGTGGAAGTGATTGAGAAACTCCTGGCTGACAAGACTACAGTGAGTTGATATTGATTGGCAGTTGATAAGAACATGTCCTAGTATATCATCCAAAAAGAAAATGTGTATTTTTTTATTAGATGCAAATCATTAGGGTGTAACAATCACCAAGACAATGTTTTGCTCTTGATGTAAGGGGTGCTATGTCGCTATACTGAATTCAAAATACAAAGTTCAAATATTACCTCTACAAAGAGATATTTCTGTTGTTGAGTAGACTGATTAATGCATGCGGATACACTTGAACCCTCAACCCTTCGATCGAGAGTGAATGAACCATACCACGACACCTCCGTTATCATCATAAATAGTATCTTGTTCTTGTTCACTTTGATAATTTCTAGTTGGTTGCTGGGAGTACGGTCATGGCATTTGAAGACGTTTGCCCCGAGCGAATCGACCTCATCCACAAGAATTTCCGCAAGCTGTGCAACCTGCTGATTGATGTGGAAGAGTGGGGTCAGGTCATCATCATCAACATGCTTACGAGATACTCTAGGACACAGTTCCTAGACCCCAACAAAGCCGTGAGTAGAAATTCAAAAGATTTCCATATTGTTGAATACCAGACATAAACAAAAAGATAGTTTTTACCTATGTAATTAGTCATTAGTAAGCCTTGGACATTATGTTCCTTTGACCCCGTTTGTTTGGTGTAATGCTATTGGAAGACTTTGGTCCAGAGGCGCTGATGTTCATTGTTACCTGAATCTAAAACGAAATACTCCCCCAAAACATCCACACACAAAAAAAAACAACAACAAAACAAAGAGTTTTATTCAACAGTGCTTGGGGAACATAAAATAATGTTGACAAATTGGGTTTGTAAATGGTGTTTATGTCTTTCTTTGCGCAATAATATTGATGCTCATGATCAATCATTTGCTTTAAAATGGAAATTTGTGTTAGAAAAACATGTTATAGTCGAGATGGGAATAGACGGACAGATGCAGATAAATTGAGAGGATGAGAGAGAGAGAGAGAGAGAAAGGGAGATGAGGAGAGGGGGGGGGGGGGTTAAAGAGGGGAAAGAAAAAAAAAGTAGAAAGAGAGGAAGAAATGTGGCGAGAAATGCTAAAAGGAAGCTCTAGTTGCAGGGTACAGGTTGAAAGATGATGTGATTAATCTCATTTCTATTTATCCAATCGTGCGTAGGATATGATACAAGAAGAAGCAGAGCGCTCTTTCTATGGCTCTGAGCACAGCGACGAAGACAGCGATGAAAAAGAAGCAAAGGAAGATGGGGAGGAGGTCAAGAAGCCGTACATCATGGATGCTGATCACAGGCTACTCCTACGCAGTGTCAAGCCACTCCTTCAGAGCAGAAATGCCTCGGTAAGCGGTTGCATGACACCATAGCATGTTGAGAGTTATAGTTGCGCCAAGTGCAAGTGTACGCTGTCAAAGGTCAATTTGTTGAGCTTCAAATAGTTCTCTTTATAATAATAATAATAATAATTATAGTCATATTTGTATTAATGGAAGTACAAGTCTTGCCCACAGCAAATCGTTGTCCATCAAGATATACCCCCTAGTCTCTTGGAGAGTCTTCCAGTCAGGGAAATGTAATATGAGAACTCTTCTATATGGGGAGATTGGCGGAGAATGCAGAGCATTACATAAGGCCTGTTGGTCATAAAACTGAAGGCTATAAATCCTGGCAATTGACAACACCTGTTATTGGTTGTTAAAATTTCCCACGAGAGCCCACCTCCACTCGTCTTGCACAGCTAATATAGAACGTTGAATAACTATGTAGGAGACAGAGAATTAGGGATATCCAGATTACAAAACTCTTCTGCTCCAATTTCAGGTCGATTTTATGCTCAATTGTATTAACCTGCACATGTATGTAAGCAGCCTTATTTATTATATCTGAGTAATATTGTGATTGATTGTGCCTACCAGTAATGTAAATGCACATTCATAGTAGTGTCTCAAATAAATCTTGCACATACATAACCATACAACATTTTTCTCTACTCACACATCATCGTGGGTTTGGAGGAAGATTTTGATCCCAGACACGTATTCTTTCATGATACACCAAATGCCTGTATGCTCCGGAAATTATTGATGCACCGTCACTCAATCTCTTGTCTGTTTCTTTGCCTACAGGTTGTAATGGCAGTAGCTCAACTCTATCATCACATTGCTCCTAAGAATGAAGTTGGGATCATTGCTAAGCCATTGGTCAGACTTCTCAGAAGCCACAGGTATAATCTATAATGTACTTTTATCATATTCGCCTACATCATAAGCGGGAAGCTTCTTGTTAGTAGTCAAGTAGTCAAAGTTTTCTTCTAACTGCTTGCCTTAAAATTTCGCACCTGATCATATAAACTCAGAATCTTTCATGAATTGGTATTTGATCAAGTTTTGTTAGCATTTCATGTCCCTAAAAGACTGAATTACAATGTGACCTTTTGCAGTACTTTAAGGTTTCTTGCTGCAGATATGGTGGCCACTTACAACTCGTGAAAGTCTAAAGTTGCAAATTCTCTGGACGAATCTGATATTCAGGATGCTCTAATGTTTAATATTTTCATAATATCTGTAAAGCATTTAGAGACATTGTAGATGTATTGAGAACTACATAAATAGAGAGTAATCATAGTTGGTATGAGTAGTGGAAGTAGTATCATTATTATGATTATTACCATTATCATGTTCATCATCATCATCATCATCATCATCATCATCATCATCATCATCATCACAGGGGTCTTGTTAATTATTTTTGAAGGAGGTAATTTGAATTTTATAGGAGGTACCATCACTGCGAGGGAGCGAAGCGACCGAGGGGGGGAGGGTGTGGGAAGGGGGTGTCCCCCCTCCCACGGTAGGGACCTTTTGGGATTTTCCACTTGAAATCGTGCAATCTGGTCCATACCTAAGAAGAAAATTTGTAGTTATCTTTCCTACCTTGTATTACACATATATTGTAATAAACACACATATTGTTCATGTTTAATATTACATGAACAATCATAACTCATAAAAAAAGTTATTAAGTTGATAATTATTTATCACTTTGTACCATTACTTTGTAATTTCTAATTAAACTGAGATGATGCACCATACTCAATCTTTCTACATCATGATTTGTTGAATACATGTACAGTATTTAAATAATGGGCAGCAGAGGCTAGATTTTGATTTTTTTTTTACTTGTGACTTTTATTTGGCTCCCCATATGAATTCTCATTTAATTATTTTTTTTTGACATGAAATTATTGAATACATTTAAGAATTTACTTCAGTTCCTGTTCATTTTATAATGTTATATCACTGTTTTTCCTGACAAAGTGAAGACACTCATGACTGTATATTTGTTTATTCAACTTTTTTAAGGAAATAAATGAAAATAAAATAAATGAATTAACCGATTGGCTTCCGATTGCGATCGGAAGTTAGTTTTGAATATTCGCGGAGCGCGAGCCTGCATATATCATGCGAGCTAGCTGGCCGTGGCCGGCCTAAACTCAGCCGAGTTCAAAACTCTGTTGCCGATTTGCGCATCTCAGAATCTAAAGTACGTTGTCTCTAGACATTGCACGCACGTGTATAGGCCCCGGTTTCCGTGATCTTCAAATATCAAATCGGCAACGGATAGTTTGGTTACAGCGAGCTAGCTTCAGTTTTGTTATGATCAGTGTGTATATATTTTGTGCAGTGCATGCATCGTCTTCTCGCGTGCACATCGGGATCGCAATGGGGTAGGGACGGGCGGGCTTGGCCGCCGCGCTGTGGGGGGAGAACTGGGATGTAACGTTAGATAGATAGGTCTAGGTAAGTACGGACGACGTCGCGTTCGTGATCGTAAGGGATTTCGTCGACTGCGGCCGTGTATGTGCGGCACTAATTATATCTTGGACGAAATTAAGGAAATTCTGGATTAGCATTGATTTAGATCTACTTTCTGTGATTTTTGCAAGGTTTATTATAGGAATTATAGCCGGTAAGAAACGAGTGAATAGGCGGCAAGTTTTACCGGTTACCGGCTTTAAACGACAGCCCTGTCATCATCATCCTCATCTCATCACCATCATCATCATCATAATCAACAATATCACTATCATCACCATCATCATCATCATCATCATCATCAAAATCATCTTCATCATCATCATCATTACACTATCTCTCTCCCTCATATCTTACTGATCTCGTTCATGTTAGGCACTCCAGTTACAACCTAAGATCCAACACTCGTACAGTTTTAGATACCCCAAGGTGTCGAATAAATGCTGGTAAGCGGGCATTCATAGCCACTGCTCCAAAATCATGGAACAATCTCCCCAATTTTGTACAAACTGCTGATTCTCTAATGACTTTCAAAAAACACCTCAAAACACACTTGTTTAACTAATGCCCGCTTACCAGCACTTGTTCTTGCTCTTCTATTACCTGTCTTACCCTTTATTTTGTTCATTCCTATATTGTTACATACATGTCTGTTGTTAAGCATCTTTCTATTTTGTTAATTGTTCATTGTATATGTTAATTAAGCGCTTTGTATCTACTTGTAGAAAAGGCGCTATACAAATGTTCATTATTATTATTATCATCATCATCATCAAAATCATCTTCATTGTATTAGAAGATTAAGCTCTATAGTTTAAGATTAGCGTCAGATATTGCTCTGTTCTATGCCGAGTCACATCTAAATGCTCAGTGCTTTTCTTCATTATGATGAATTTTCTTCAACCTACACAGGGAAGTGCAATCTGTCGTCCTGAGCAACGTAGCCACGATGAGCGCCAACCGCAGGGGTATGTTTGAACCTTTCCTCAAGAGTTTCTTTGTCCGTTCCAGCGACGCGACCCATATCCGTCTTCTCAAGCTGGAGATCATGACTAACATTGCCAGTGGAACCAGTATTTCAACCATACTCCGAGAATTACAGGTGTGTACATATGCCTTCTTTAGATAATTTTCATAATTATTGCACAAATTATTGTAAATTAGCGCAGCCAGATTAACATTTGATCAGCCGTAAGCCCCTTTCGTATGTATAAGGAAATGTAAAACATAGTACACTGTACATGTCTGTATGTAATTGATTAGATTGGCTTTGAAAAGCTGCTAGAAATAACAAGAAGCTGGTTTTAGCCTCCAGTTCATTTTATAATTTATTCTGATGTGTGCAAGATTTAAAAAAAAAACCTTCAGTGTATCTTTATTCACTGCTACAGGTATTCTTTAATTTTGTGGCACCAATCATCTCTTTTATTTCCAATGTATTTCAAATGCGTAGACCTATGTGACCAGTTCTGACAAGGCGTTTGTAGCAGCCACCATCCAGGCCATCGGGAGATGTGCAAGTAACATAGAAGAAGTGACCGAGTCATGCATGAATGGACTCATGGGCCTCATGTCAAACAGAGATGGTAAGTTGAGTGGTTTAAGCACTGGACTTGAAATGCAAAGGTCGTTGGTTCGATCCCACACCCGGCACTAATGTCCTTTGGCTAGGTATTAAGCTACATTTGCCACTCCATACCAAGGAGAGAAATGGGGACCTGATAGGATGACAAAAGCATTTGTGATAGACATTGCCATATGCTCCAACAGTAACGATATGGTAGGAATACTCCCCAGGGAGTGGAGATGGCGCACATTGTGCCTGAATGAATCCGATGACCGGGGTGATCATATCTGTGAAGCGCTTAGAGATGGCAGTTCGTATTAAGCGCTATATAAATCTAGATTATTATAACAAAATATTGTATATCAGTGAATACTAGGTACTTTGGGAACAGTGTTTGGATTGTTTGAAGGTACTTAGTAATGATGATTACACTAATGTCTTAACATATTGATAGGTATGATTTGTTTGATGTAATGGTGACCGGAATCCCTGTCACGTGATGAAATATCCTTTTCCCAAATTTCGTAGATCCAGAGTCAACTTGACATTTGAACTGAATGATTAACCAGCCGGTAATGAAAAATTACTGATGACTGATCAGTAGCATAAAAGCAGCTGATAACTACTGACTTTCAAAAATACCAAGGTTGAGAACTTTAAAGGCATCGTTTAACAATGTTAAATCTGATAGGCACGGCCCTACGTGTTATTAGTGTCTGTGATATGGTGTAATATGAAGCCCTAAAAAAATCACGCTTCAAAATGATCAAGAAGTGCCTCAAAAAAGTAATTTGTAATTCCAATCATAAATATTTTGATAATCAGACAGGCGTTTGGCTTGTAAAAGTCATGGGGTTCCTGACTGACCATAAGGTTTATAATTATCATTGCAGCATGAGCTAAATCCAGGACTTTGTTTCAGAATCTGAGACAAAGTTACCGGATCCCTTTAAATAGTTTTTTTTTCAGGGAAAATGTTAAGTTTTCTTATTCTTCTTCAAAAGAACAATACATTCATATATTTGCAATGTGGTTGAATCAACAGAGGCTGTAGTAGCAGAGAGTGTGGTGGTGATTCGTAAACTACTTCAGATGAACCCTACAGGTCACAAGGAGATTATACGTCACATGACCAAACTTGCAGACGCCATCACGGTGAGTAGCAGGGTTTATATTTGCATCAGCGCTGTCTTAACTATGACCTTTGTTTTACTGGCACGCAAAGTATGAAATACACGAGCTAGCTCATAGATACATTGTATGCATATTTCTGAAAGTATAATTGTTGTTGATGAACCAAAAGTTAAGAGTAGACCATATGTTGCATCCATAGTTTTATTGGAAGATTACAAAAAAATACTGCTTATTTCTTACTGTGCTCTTTAAATGCCTGTAGATAGGTGTATAACAATATTTAATTTGTACACTATAAAGAGAAGGTTGAGTTCTTGGAAGAGGTGAAAAATTATTTGTGAGTGTTATTGTTATTATGCAAGTGTAGAAGAACATCAGATAGCAAATGTTCCCTGCAAAGCATGGCTCTTCAAATAATTCAATATTCTAAATATGGCATTTAACGGCTTAAAAATCTGGACAGATTTTTAGGCCACATGTGTGTATAGTCCCATGTACATATTTATGTGTACAGTGCTTGTAACTTTACCCAGACTGGGCTAAATTTCTTATCATTTTGATGATTCCAGAATCTTGCAGTATACACCAATACTTTTATACTAGATGATCAACCTTTCTGATCAATTCCACACCGTTTTTTTCACAATGCAACCGCATGACCAGAACTCAACTTTATCTTTAAGCAAGGTAATGTCAATACAAATATTTTTAAAGATGTGACATTTTAATCATCTTTCCCAGGTACCTATGGCCAGAGCCAGTATCCTTTGGCTCATAGGAGAATACTCTGACAACGTACCTAAGATGGCTCCTGATGTACTGCGTAAGATGGCCAAAGGATTCATCAACGAGGAAGACATCGTCAAGCTTCAGATTCTGAACCTGGCAGCTAAGCTTTACCTGACCAACTCCAAACAGGTACGTTATCTTCTATTATAAGATGATGGAGCGAATCCTAATCAAATGATTGGTTGAGAGTATACACGTGACCAGGCATTTATTTTGCCTAACACGTAATTTTGATAATGACCTGTCATTAATGAAATCATGTTTTAAAACATTATTTTATAAAACAAATAAAATATAAACTTGTAAAACAAATAATACACATCATTTTGTTTGGACATTAGTAATGCCCTCACTGCTGCGATTATTTGTGTACTAGTACATCTCATTCGTCAAAGTTTCTAATTAATTTCTAGAGATTCTCCGCCACAATTTTTAAGGAACTTGAATAGCAACAGAATTTATTTATTTGTTTATTCAGTGATTTATTCATTTTTTTGAAAAAGTTTATTGACTTTAAAAAAATACAGTATTTGCAGCTTCTAGACTTATAGCCGATTCTTGTACAAGAGATACATACATGTAGAGGGAAAATGCTGACTTTAACAAACGATGATGATGATGATAATGAAACGATCTCCTCCTCACCTCACAGACCAAACTCCTGCTCCAGTACGTGCTCAACCTGGCCAAGTATGACCAGAACTATGACATCCGAGACCGCGCCCGTTTCTTCCGACATCTCCTCCTCCCCGGGGATAAGACCACAACATTCTCCAAACATGCTAAGAAGATCATCCTAGCCACCAAACCAGCCCCTGTCATTGAATCCGTCTTCAAGGGTAAAGTAGATGGGTCTAGAACACCCATGTCTGCACATACAGTCAAACCTGCTTTAGTGACCACCTGTCTATAAAGACCAACTGTGTACAAAGACCATATTTTATGTTTCCCTTTGAAATGGTTTCTCATTGAAACATGTACTAAAGGAACCTGTTTACAAAGATCTAGAAAGACCCCTTTTGGTGTTTCCCTTGAGTGGTCACTACAGACAGGTTTCACTGTACATGCAACTGCGCAATTCTTATAAAGCAAAACACGCTACAAATAAAAAATTTCATCTCTATACATATTTGTGCTAACAACAAGAAAGAGCTTTTGAGAAAGTCTAAGGTAGGTAATTTTATTTACACACCTTAAAGTGCTACCTTTCACAGCAACAGTTACGAACTGTGTGTAAACTGAATGAGTACTGCGCAACAAACACAAAATTTAATATTTATATGTATGCGAAAAACAAGAAACAGCTTTTGAGAAAAGTCTAAGTTAGATCATTTTATTCACTGGCCCCAAAGTGCTATCATTCAGATCAACAATAAATAACTGTGTGTAAAATGAATGGGTGCACAGACATGGGTAACTTTTATATTTTGCAATGCCAAAAAAGGTGAAAATGACATTGTTCTTGCTTGAATTTTGAAGAAAAAAATTGGCACACTTACTCTTTAGAATGTAAGGAATAATATCTGATTAAGCTCAAGAGGGGAATCTTTAAAAACTCTTTGTCAATATTAATTCAAATGTTATTTGTGCAGACATAGGGCTCCCCATCATACATTTAGTCTGATCATTACATATCATAATTCCTTTATGGAGGTAATGAAAAAGAAATATTCAGTGCCTTGATTGTAAATTATTTATGGGTCTAATTTAGTGTTGTGTTTAAATGTATTTATGATACTTGAACAGAAAATTTTCTTGAAATTTGTCCGAATAAAAAGCATGACACAGTCTCTCATTTGATGAACTTGTTTTTGTAGATAATAGACATGCTTTACAAATTTCTCATGATAATGTACTGCAACTCTTACTTCTGAAAAAAGGGGCCACAAAGGAACACTTACAAATGCTTAGAAATGGTAATCTGCATGTATTTTCTTCACATTGTCTGCTTGTTCATACCGAACAAGTCAATAATTCATTGGCATTAATTTATTCTGATGTTTGGTTTAGACCGGGACCAGTTCCAGCTAGGTTCTCTGTCTCACATGATCAATGCAAAGGCCATAGGTTACATCGAGCTCCCAGACTTCCCTGAAGAGGCCCCGGACCCAAGCGCTAGAGTCGTGGAGGTATGTCAACAGAGTTCCCTCCTTAACTTGGCAACAATTAATCTTATTTTCCACTCCTTCAGAGTTTGAAGAAAAAAAAAATGTTTAAAGATAAACTTGAGTACTGGTAATGCGATTGCATTGTGAAAGAAAAGGTGTGGAATGGATCAGAAAAGTTGATCATATAGCATGTAAGTAATGGTGTGTAATACAAGGTTCTAGAGTCATCAAAATCATCATACATTTGGCAGAGTCTTGGTAAAGTAACAATCACTTACACAGATAGATGTATATGGGACAACACACATGGTGTCGGGGCTAGTACTACCCTGATTTCCTTATCTTTCTATGCTCATTACTCAGCCAGTATACATTTTCTTCCAAAATTGTTTGGCACATGACATTTATTTGTAATCTTGAACATTCAGTGTAAGTTTCGTTAGATTCTGTGAGAATTCATTTTCTTTTTTTTACCAGAACTCAAGTTTATCTTTAATTAAGTGAACCAATGTGAAAAGATGTTGCAAGGTTTTACTGAAAAATTGCCAATTTGTCCACAAAAATCATATTTCTAATATTTTATACTGCATTGCCGATTTAGAGACTTCATTGATTAGTTGCAACTAAATTGCTCTAATTATTAGAGAACGGCACACAGCACTGCATTGGAAAGAGACTCAAGGGTGAGGGAGAGAGAGAGAGAGAGAGAGAGAGAGAGAAAGAGTTGAGTGACCCAGGGCCCTGTTTCATAAAACTTGTTATCAATAATAAGTTGCAATAACTGTAATACTCTACGGAAAACGTTGCATTTGATTCTGAGAGCAAATCTGCTGTAGAAATGTGAGACTCATTGTGGCAAGATTTCAAAGTGTATGAATGAATGTTAGAATTTCTGTGTGTATGCAAACAGATGTCAAACATATCAAAATGAATTGACAGTACACCTGAGTTATTTTTATGTCCAAAGTAGATATTATACCATACGTAGAAGATTTGCCTCATCAGTTTGTTTCTATTCATTTGTTCCAGGAAGCCCTACCTTGGACCAACGAGAAGGAGAAGAGAACCGGGAGTAAGAGTAAGAAGAAAGCCAAAGCAACCAAGTCTTTCTACTCCAGCTCAGAGGAGGAGAGCGAGGAAGAAGATGATGATGAAGAAGAATCCTCTTTAGGTAAGAGATAATATTAATTAGTGTTAATGAATTGGTATTGTGATTAATGATTATTATGATTATTATTATTATTATTATAATTATGACTACTATTATTATTATTATTATTATGATGAATACTACTATTATTATTATTTTTATTATTATTACAAATATTGGAAGCGATTAATAAAGTATATTAGAAAACAAAGGCAAGGTTCAACACTAACAGGTACCTGGACCCCCCAAAATGTCAAAATGTTAACATGGCCTTCTGCATTCAGACCCTGTAGATTATCAGCCCCGGACCTCTCACACAAACAGCTAGAGTGAAGCCCTGCAAAAGGTATAGGAACATACCAAATAGGCGAGTTCTTAAATAGCTTCAGTACGCATGACCCCACGATATCCACAGATCTTTTACAGGATGGATACGTCCTACTTGTGCATTTTAGAATAAAATCACTGCCGAGGTGATGGAGGGGCTTCATGAATACCTTTTGTTTGCCTCTTGAGAAGAATACTTCTACCTGTGTATCAGATAAATGTACAGTTGGTGCATAAATGAATACTGATTACATAACTTTCATGAGCACGATACCAGTATTCGTCTCGATGAGTTTTACAATTTAGGAACAAATTACCTCTATCAGCCCGTGCCCAGATAGTATTTACGAACTGGCTTATTCTGATGACTAAGTGCGCTACGGAGCACTTTTTGTTCTATGCAGTATGGAAAATCTCTTCTTTGATACATAAACCTTTTACTTTCATATTGTAGAAGAAGCCAGTGAATCAGGCTCGGGATCGGAGAGCGGTTCGGGTTCAGACATCGACAAAGATGAAAGCAGTGATGAGGAGGAGAGCGACGAGGAAGACGAGAGTGAAGATGCGTCAGCGTCATCGGAAGATTCCGAGAAGAGCTCATCAGAGTCATCGGAAGATTCCTCCAGTGAGGAGAGCGAGTCAGAGAGTGAAGAAGAGATCAAACCAGTGAAAAAGGTAACAAGCCAAAAGATTGTAGATATTGGCAATGGACAAATGTTGTATTAAGGATTGAATCTGTTTTTGTCCTCAAATTGGCAACAATAATATCTCTTATTGCCAAGTTGTGTTTATTTATTATTATTATTATTTCTCAGTTGAACATGTATTAGAATTATGAGCACATATTACCAAATGGAAAGTAAAACATTCTTTCCTTTGCCAGCTTGTTGCCATTTTCAATATTTGAATGCCTCAGTAGTTTTTCAAGTACCGGTATGTAATTAATTCAATAGAGTACCGAAGCTGTGACGTCATAAAAATCTATTTTTAGAATTTCTCAATTTTTACTTCATTTTCTGAAAGAACATCAAAAATAATGTCCAAATGTCGAAAACCAATTGAATATGTTAAATATTGGCTGAGATATGACCATCTGATTAAATATACTCCCCATAGGAACTCAGTGTTATATGCTCTGGCTCCTAATGGTTAGGAGCCAGAGCATATAACACTGAGTTCCCATAGGACATATATTCATTCAGATGGTCATAACTCAGCCAATACTTAACATATTTAATTGGTGTTCGACATTTGGACATTATTTTTGGTGTTCTTTCGGAATATGAAGAAAAAATTGAGAAATTCTAAAAATAGATTTTTTATGACGTCACACTTCACCACTCTATGGAATGGGCATCTTCTGTACTGCAAAGTAGTTCTACCAGTGCATGGAATCAACATGAACATTAATTTTTTTGTCTGCCCATTCATTTTAAGTCATTGTAGCATCAACTTGAAAATGAGGTCCTATTTTGTTTCACCTTATACTAGAAAAATCCATGGATTGCTGAAAATATGTAGAAAAAAGTAAAACAGTTATATTTGATTATGATGGTGAATATTGGGGTGTGTTTTGGGATGTGTGTTTTTTGTACCTATACTCAAATTTATTTTGTCCTGCTTTGTATTTTCCTACCAGAAAACTCCATAGAGTACTGACTCTACGTAGAGACAAATAGTCCAGCAATTTCTATCATACTGATGCATGTTGTGTTCTTTTAGTGCCAATGTGCATATTTATTTTGTACTCTTTTTTTTTTTCTTCTTTACCAGAAAACACCACAGAAATCATCCAAGGAGCAGAAGAAAGGAAAACAGAAAGCTGAATCAACAATGCAACTCTTAGATTTTGGTGACTGTAAGTCTCTCTCTCTGTTCTTATATGAAATTTGATTATTTATTTATTCAGTTGAGAGAAATTTACTGTTGTCATTGCATGTGCCGTTGAAAAACACAAAACAGTAACCTTTTGTTTTTATTACGATGCTTTAAAACTAGAAACCACAGTCATGAAACATTCACAAATTTCATAAGAGTTTCAATCCACAAAATTATTGAATCATAAAAAGTACAACACTTAAATTTTTGCAATTTTTAAAAAATTTCTTGTTTTTTGGGTGAAAGTTACTTTTGATAATGTGTTTCTCTAGTTGCTCCATTAGTTTAAGGAGTTCTCTATATTTCTCTAGTTGGTCCATAATTTTAAAGAGTTCTCTACGTTTCTCTAGTTGGTCCATAATTTTAAAGAGTTCTCTACGTTTCTGTAGTTGCTCCATAAGTTTAAGAAGTTCTCTACGTTTCTCTAGTTAGTCCATAAGTTTAAGGAGATCTCTACATTTCTGCATATGGTCAATCAACTTAAGAAGTTCTCTACATTTCTCTAGTTGGTCCATAATTTTAAAGAGTTCTCTACGTTTCTGTAGTTGGTCCATAAGTTTAAAGAGTTCTCTACGTTTCTCTAGTTGGTCCATAAGTTTAAGGAGTTCTCTAAGTTTCTTCAGTTGCTCCATAAGTTTAAGGAGTTCTCTACACTTCTTCATCTGCTCCATAAGTTTAAGGAGTTCTCTACAGTTCTTCAAGTGGTCAGTCAGTCAACTTAAGAAGTTCTCTAAGTTTCTTCAAGGGGTCCATAAGTTTAGGGTGCTCTCAATGTTTCTCCAGTTGATCCATCAGTTTGAGTTATTCTCTGTTTTTCATGACTCGGTCTGTAATTTTAAGAAGTACTCTAGGAGGTCCATAAGTTTGAGTTAATCCTTAACTTTAAAGAGAAGGTTGAGTTCTGGGAAGAGGTAAAAAATAATTTGTGAGCGTTATCATTGTTATTATGCAAGGGTGGAAGAACATCAGATTAAACCTGTTCCCTGAAAAGCATGGCTCTTCAAATGCCTTCATATTCTAAATATGACATAAAATACGTAAAAATCGGGGGGTAGGTTTTTTTCGCCATGTGCTCATGTAGTCCCATATACACCATTCTGTGTACAGTGCTTGTAACTTTGCCAAGCTTTGGCCAAATTTCTTATCATTTTGATGATTCCAGGACCTTGCAATACACACAAATACTTATATACTAGATGATCAACCTTTTCTGATAGATTCCACACCGTTTCTTTCACAATGCAATCACATGACCAGAACTCAACTTTATCTTTAAGGTGTTCTCTATTTTTCTCTCGTCGATTCATAAGTTTAAGGTGTTCTCTAGTTTGTATAAGTCAGTCTGTAACTTGAAGGTGTCCTCTTTGTTTCTCTAGTTGGTCCACCAGGAGAATCCTCTCAGCCTGTGACACCTGCCGGGCCCACCAGCATGCTAACTCCTACCCTAGCCAAAGATCTTCAAGGATTATCACTTAGTGACAAACCTTTGGTAAGAACATCTCACACATCTTAACATTTCTCCTAGTCTAAGCTTCTACCAACATTAAGATTTAGTCGTCAAGCTTTCATCGACTCCTGTGGACTTTCTCAAGCCAGGTGCTTCTTTCAAACAGTTCTTTGCTGTCTGCTGCCTCACAATCTCTGGAGCGAAGATAGGGGACAGTGAGAAGGCAAAATCACTATTCAGTAAAGGAGTTATCCTTTAGATCCAGATGGATTCTTCACCTTTCTTGGCTTCTAGTCTAGTATTGCATTTCAAAGTCAACTTGGGCATCATCCCATCCAATTGGCATGTTCAGTTTCAAGGATTTGTTCTGCTACTGCTGATTGAGAGGGATTACTCAATCTTGGGGCTCTTAGAGTTCTTTTAGTCTTTAGTTTAAAGTCTCCAGGAGTAGACGAAAGCTTGCCTATTCAATTTTAAGGTTGGCAGAAGCTTAAACTATGAGATATGATTGCCCAAACAAAGTAAAGTTTCTGTATCATAACATGTGTATCTCTCATACATGTATGCATGTAGCTCTAACTCTACGCAGTTATTTTTGTTTCTTCTACTTGTAATTTCTGCGAGCAATTAATCCCTGATATATCATTTTCAACCAAAAGCCAGCCAAAAGCCAACCAAAATCAAAACCGTGTGAACTGTACAGTTATTTTAGGGATACAAATGTGAAATTTGTCAATATCTCTTTCAATATCCACTAACTAAATTATATTCTTAAGGTTGACATGACTAGCACTTCAATTTAATATTTCAAAATTCAATTCAATTCAATTCAAGTTTATTTTCCATTTCCACAGAAATCAGAACAATATTTCATTAAAACAAAACAAAAAATTGAACAAGATAACATGTGAATAATATCATTTACAAATACTTAAAATGCATATAAACAAAATTTGAATAACATAATACAAAAAAAATTGATATTTTCTATGGAAATGGAGGGACCCATTAAAAAGTGGATACTTGTAGATTATGGGTCCCTCAAAATAACAAAGTAGCATTACACAAATTAGCTTATACAGAACAAAAAACACAAATATATTAATATAAAAGTTTGCTCTTTGTTTTTAAAATAAAAAAAATAAAAAAATAAAGTAAAGACAATGACAAGCCCGCGAAGACAGAACAGTAACAAGTAGAGACAATGTAAGACAGAGAAAGACATTCAATAACAAAAAAAAAAAAAAAAAAAAAAAAAACGAATATACTGCACAGACGTGGACATAACATTTCCAAAACAACAAATCAGTTATTCTACATTCCGTATACTATTGTCAATACAAATCAGATTATCAGTAAAAAGTAAGACCGTATAAATCGATAACTGCGCATATAATTATTAAAGAGAAAATAAGGGGAAAGTATGCGCGTATTCTCCTCAAAATGACCAAGACAATGATGCATCGTGTATAATGTGTAAGTATTAGTGTGTGTGTGTGGGTGTCAGGGGGGGGGGGGTAAATCAAACTAATTTACTTTATATTTTAAGAACAAAAATATTTTTAATCTTTTCTTAAATGTATATAATGAAGGGGCATTTTTCAATGAATCAGTAAAGGAATTCCACAAATTTGGGCCATCATAGATAAAAGTGTTTTTAGCGAAGGAAGTTCGAAGTAATGGCAAATGGTACTCTTCCGATTGTCTAGTTGAATGTTGATGAAAAGAGCGATTTTTTAAAAACATAGTCTTAAAAATTTTTGGCAGCAAATCATTAGTATTTTTATACATAAATTGACCTAATTGAAGCAAATACAAATCTTTTACTTTCAAAATATTATTATCATAAAACAACGGATTAGTGTGTGCACGAAAATCTGCCTGGGAAATAATTCTAACTGCTCTCTTCTGTAACAATAAAAGTTTGTCTAAAATGTTCTGATGAGCGTTACCCCATGCGAGTAAGCCATAATTCAGATAAGGTAATGTTAAGGATGAATATAATGTTAATAATGCTGAAGATGGGAGTTGTGTTTTAAGTCTATTTAATATACCAATATTTCTCGAAATTTTTTTAGAAATGTTATCGACATGAACTTTCCATGAAAGCTTATTATCAATTATTACACCTAGAAATTTAGAATGTGTAACCTTTTCCAAATGAGTGTCATCAAAAACTAAATCAGTTGGCAAAGAATCTATTGAATTACTAAAAAGAATATATTTAGTCTTTTGTAAATTTAAAGACAGCCTATTAGCTCGGATCCATTGAATAATTTTTTCTAATTCAAAATTTACAATTTCAACAAGAGTATTTGGATTTGTATGTGAAAAGAACAAATTTGTATCATCAGCAAATGATATAAAAGACGCCATATCTGATGATCTATAAAAATCATTAATATAAATAATAAACAAAAGCGGGCCCAGCAAACTACCTTGAGGAACCCCACAATTAATATTTCGTAATTCAGAAGTGTGACCATCCAGAAATACAAACTGTTTCCTATCGGAAAGGTAACTCCTGAACCACTCCAAGGCCTTCCCACGTATACCATAATGAGAAAGTTTATGAAGCAAAATATCGTGGTTGATCGTGTCGAAGGCCTTGGAGTAGTCCAGGAGTATTCCAACCATATGATAAGAGGAGTCGAGAGCATGAGCTACCTTTTCAACAAGTGATAATAATGCATGACTCGTGCTATGTTTCTCTCTAAATGACTTCTTGTTGAATAAACCAAGTACTTTTATAATATATTAGTTAAAGCCTGAGAAAAAATGATCCATATCCTGGGATGTTAGTTACAAGGAAATGCATTCATTATGGGTTATACCACTGCTCTCAATATCTTGTCAAAAAAAGAATTTTACTGAACAAAAAAAATCTGAATTATGAAGAATTATTGTTTGACTTGGTAAATTGAATTTTCATGAAAGCTTTCTCCCTATAACAAAAAATATTTTGCCTACATAAATTATAAGTAATTTCAGCAATTTTAACTATATTACATATGTTCAGTCTAATTTGACTTTAGTCTTATCACATATAAATAGGATAGAAAGTTACAAAATGGATGTGCATATGGATTCTATGGAATTCGAGTTATTATGTTTATTTCTTTGAAATTTACTATACTTTATTTTGTTTATTTATCCAATTAATTTAAAAAATATTTAACTGGGAAAGGAAAAGTAAAAATAGACAAACTTGATGTGCATTTCTTCTTCCTGCATGATTTATTTTGTTATCTAACTGGGTATCAGTCCCTTTCATCTTTGATTATTTGTCTAACTGCATGATGCTGTATTTCATCTAAATATAGCCCAATTTCAATACCTATTAACATGATAATATTTTCCTTAGTGGTCTTGTTTTCCAGTTTTTCATGTATTCCTAGGAGGGTTAGGGCTCTTCACGATTTTACTCAGTTAAGATTTGACAATGATTGATTCCAGAAAAGAAAGAATTTTTTTTTTTTAGGTGGTATATGGAATACTTTTTCATTCATTTGGTTGTCATCAAATACACAAAGCTGCCAACCATTCATATTTTGGAGGAATGACTTCATTTTGAATTTATTTTAGCTTGATTCGATGTTCATGTTATGAACCAAAGATTCCTCTCTATTCTGAAAAAAAAATTGTGTAAAAAAACACATGAACAAAATGAATTGTATTCCTACTTTTTGTGGCTTGAGAACTACCTAATTTTTGGCATGTGGGAATTTACGATTGAGAAGAGCCCTTTAAGCCAACCATTTCTTGTTGATTTTTTCTTCAAGTCCTAAGTTTTGAATTCCTTCATGTTTTTTTGTACCAGAGTTCAGAGCAGATGTCCCAGATGGCCAAGGTAAAATAGAACCGATCCTAGAACTAGAAAGAATGGTTTTATTCATTCATTGCATCCCATGCTTCTTGAAATGACTTGTGTGCAATCATGGGTTCAAGAGGGACAACTTTAACTGTAAAACCAGAAACTTTGCAAGATGAAACTTTGGCGAATTGCAAATATGACAAGAAACTTACGCGAAATTATGGAAAAGTGTTGCTCTGAATCTGAAGCATTTCATGTATGCAAAATTGTCTGGTTTTACATTATATCATGCTCATTCACTCATCTAGCTATTAAACAGAATAGATCTGGAGTGTTGAACCTGTGTCTTATTTCATTTGATTAACCCCCCCCCCCCCCCCCCCCAACTACAAAAAACCAAGGAATTATCTTTTCAAATAAAAGCTGACCCAATATCAAAGATTTGTTAGATTACATTTGAGGATATAACCTTCTAAAGTTTTTATACAATTTTCTTTGGTAGCGGCCAGAATCAAACATTGATTTTTAAGCATGAATTCAAGTGGATTAATTTTTCCAAAAAAAGTACAAAGTCCTTGTCTGTCATGCAAACAACTACGGTATGTCATTACAAAAGGAGCAGCATAAGATTAATGATTAATGTCATAGGTAAATTATAAAAGAATTCTATCCAATATCAAATGCTGAAGGCATTTCACATAGGTTGGACACTCTAATAGATTTAGCTTCACTGTAGTTACTAGAATCATCAGCAAAGGGATTCACACATTCACAATTATGCATTTTGATAACCTTCCACTATCATGTGTGGAAATGTATTCATCATTATACATGTCTATTATATCATTATATGCTTGTTTGCATATATATATAAGCTATATTTTCATTGAAAAAAGGGTTTATAAACATGAAAGGGAATTATCAATTATGTGTTATCTTGACAGCTGTTCATATTTATTTGTAGAAATGATAAACAAAAATCATTTGTATCATCGTTGGAAGATGGTGGTGGTGAATTGGTGATGACTGGTAGTTTATAGATGAGATGAAATGCCTGTGGTATATGAAATGTGTCTGAATATTATATAATGGTACCTTGTTTAATAAGTGATAAAACATATTTCTTAGATATCTCACAATATTCATATTTATAGCTTTCATGTTCAGACATTATACATGTACCTTGCCAAAATATCTGCCCTTTCAGCCTTTATAAGTTCAGCTTATTTGACATGCACATAAGTTTGTACAAAAAAGAGCAGTGTGATTTAGCATATGTTACAGGTATTTACTGCAATTTTGTTTGCAATTGATATAGGAAGATGTCCATGTGCATCTTCTTGGAGATCATCACATTCATTCTGAATAATTAAACAATAAAACAATATAACCACAACCTTCATCCTTGAAAGTTATGCAAAATTTGCAAGTTGTGAGGCATTATAAAAGTTTCATGCAAGGAAATATTACATATGAGATTATATTGCAGCATATTTGATTTCATTTCAAGAACTTGTTGTGCTCCACATCAAAGGGAACTTGGCATTTTCTGAGTTGTCTGACAAGTTTGTTTTGACTATAAAATCATCAATAAAGGAAATCAATGTATATAAAGCCCAGCAAGAGTTATTTACTGGTAGTCCTGATAGTAAAATGAAAGCATGTGGGAAGATCAGGTTATTGTAAAAACTTGCTTGGTTCTTCACTGGCAATTAATGTTTTATTTGTGTTTGTTTTAAAGACATCTTAATGATTTGACTAATCTAAAGAAGGAAAATAGTGTTAACACTATCATTTGAATGAATTTGTGTTTAGATTTAGAAATAGTGATTGGGCATGTGGAGGGAATGCTATTCTTGCATTTTGTACTTTTATTTAGTGTACATGCAATTTATTTATTTATTTATTTGTTTATTTTCTAGAAATTCAATATATTTGATCGGTTTTGTATGTTTTTATTAATTTTTGTTTTTTTCTATTTGTAGGTGATATAGTATTGTTGTGGATATTTTGATAACTAATAGTAATAATAATAATTTTCAAATGCTATTTTTATTTATTATCAAACTTTAGATGAATAATTAGACTAGCGGATACATGTAGATGCTTGTGGTGGCCTTTTTTCTACACTTGTAACGCCAATAGAGTGTGTAGTTTATAGTAGCATAAAGCACATTGGTGTCTAGATGCATATAATTAAGAATAACTTGGGTTAAAACGATATACAGATATGATTGATGATTCTACATGACCTTTCCCTTTGAGATGCTCAGCCAGTGTTCAATACAGATTTTCACTACGATTATATCAGCCTTTTACAATTTCATAGAAACACTTCTCAGAAGTCACCTCGAGGTACTAGATACATGTACCTTCATGCAAGAAAGTAAAATGTCTGTCAAATTTATGTTACATAAACAGCAGTATCAGTAGTTTGTAAGTGTAACATTACCTTTAATAAATGTGATTCTTTGAAAGAAGTTCAAAGTTGATCTAGCTTTCAATTAGGATGATCAAGACAAAAATTGGTAGAAAGAAACGCAGAATATGTTGCATTTGCACATAATGCCACAATGAACAAACTGCAATTTTCAAATTTATTGCACACATGAACTTGTTTTGTGTTTTCTACAAATACTCACATTTCGTCTTAAGCTAAAACTTGAAGATATACATATCGCCTGCATTGAACTTTTTCTCTTAATGATACATGTACATGCAGTTTATGAATTGTTGTTAAAGCTCTGAAACAAAGCAGTCATTTGGTCATGAGCTCATCATGACGTGTTGCCAATTTGCCATGAGACATTACTAATGGTTAAACCATTAACGTCAATACTCTTTTTCTTCCGTACAGGCTGGTGGAGTTATGTTTCCTTCTAAGGAGACCTTTGAGCTTTTGAATCGGGTCAACAGCGGGGGTTTATCAGCGACCTACCGATTCCCTCGAACGACCTGTATCTACTCTACCACTATGGTGGCTGTAGAGGTCACTTTCGTCAACAACAGTTCCGCCAAAATACAGAACATTAGCATAGGTAAGGAGTAGTTTGCAGGAACAGACCCTTGTCGGCCGTAATGTAAAACAGAGGGTCTGAGCTAGGAGACTATGCAGAGACTGTAGACCATAGGCCCATTACTGTAGCTGCTCCTGGCCTTGGCACAACCCTTTTCTTCTTTGTTTTGTTTTATTTGGTATTCAGTCAGAATCGACTATTTTTGCCTTAAAACTGTCTTTTAATTATTATAAAATGAAGTGGATCTGGGCTAGGCTTCACTCAAGACACAATACTTATTCATTGTAATTAAGTATCCATGTAGGGTCTGTGCTTGCAGGCTAGGTAAGAAGAAGGATAAGGATAACATCGATGAGTTATAAATTATATTTGAGGAGGTACAGAGGTTTAATGGTACAGCAGTGGTGTTGTAAGCAGGGAGGTCATAGGTTTAAATCCAAGTTTGAAGGCATTAATCCTCATTACCAAGTCCCTAGAATAGGACTTAATGCATTATGTCTGACCTCCCGACAGGTTGCTTACAAATTTGTACTTGCTTTCTTATTATTTTGTATAAAGAGAACGTTGAATTCTGGGAAGAGGTGAAAAAATAGGTTGTGAGTATTATCATTGTATTATGCAAGTGTGGAAGAACATCCAATAAAACTGAAAAGCATGGCTCTTCAAATGCCTTAATATTCTAAATATGGCATGTAACATTATAAAAATCGGGACAGATTTTTATGCCACATGTTCGTGTAGTCCCATATACATCTTTCTTTGTACAGTGCCTGCAACCTTACCAAGACTGGGACAAATTTCTTATCATTTTGATGATTCCAGAACCCTGCAGTATACACCAATACTTATATGCTAGATGATCAACCTTTTCTGATCGATTCCACAACGTTTCTTTCACAATGCAATCGCATGACCAGAACTCAACTTTATCTTTAAATGAAGAAAAGCCGATATATTCATCTTGTTTGTCGATTTCTTCTAGGAGAGACCAAGTTGGCAGCTGGTATGAAACTGCACGAGTTCCCAGAGATCACCAACCTTTCCGTCAGTCAGTCCACAACGGCAATCATTGGCATTGACTTCAGGGACACAACACAACCTGCCAATTTTGAGATCTGGTAAGTTCAGCGATACTTCAGGAATGATGATGAAGATGATGATGATGACGATGATTATTATGATGATGATGATGGTGATGATGATGATGATGGTGATGATGGTGATGATGATGATGATGATGATGATTATGATGATGATTATGATGATGATTATGATAATTATGATGATGATGATGATGACGATTGTGATGATGATGATGATTATTAATATTATAATCATTAACATTGTTGTTTATATTATAATTATTTGGCATCCCCTGGGAGGTGAGAAGCAAACTGATCACTGTCACCCTTGGGTCTCTCTACCCTATGTTCCAAATACAAAGTATGTCGTTGTAAGGTACACAAAATTTAAAGGATGATGGATAAGGTTATTGAAATTTGCCTAAGGTTGATTTTGGGGAAAGTCTTTTACATTTTACGTTCATTTTTGTATGATTTTTGTTTTTGTTTTGTTTCCTTTCAGTACTGAATCGCGGAAGTTCAGTGTGACAGTGAAAGCACCCATAGGAGAACTCTTACAACCCATTGCACTCAGTGAAAGAGACTTCTTAGGCCAACAATGTAAGCTCATCATCAGTTTTAATCGACCTTGAATCTTTTAAAGCCCCACTGCACTACTTATAGCTATACTTGCACCCTCTATATAGCAAACAATGCCTAATCAGTGACCATTGGTCCCCCATGGTCCCCTTTTTCTTATGTTAATTGAGAGCTGATTTGATGAGATAACCATCTGTCAGTGACCATGCAGGGAGGTCTAATCCCTCCTGGCCAAACTAGTGCATATAGGCTGTAACTACTTGTTCTCCTTCATTGACAAAATTTAGCGTTATCCTAGCAAATGGAATCAACAAACGTGCATTGTGAAAGATCATACTGACATTGGGGCACTGTGCTATTCATAATTTTGACCTTATATTTCGAAAGTTATGTAGGATCGAACATTTGGGCTCCAGTTGCAGCATCCACCTGGCTATTACCGGTTTGGAAGGCCTAAATGACCTTAAATAGCACAGTAGATTTACTTTCAAGGAGCCTCCCAGTATGACTTAACAATATAGAGACTCTGCCCACGCCCAATTTATTCTCCATTTATTTATCATTTATTATTGTCCTTGTCTTATAGCCAAACTAATAGGTTTCTCAGTTCGTTTTCCAATTCGGTACAATAACCTATATCTATTTATGCACAGATTGTATCTCTGAATTGTCTTATGTATGTATGTCGTTGCTACTGTCTTTATTTGACAGCTAAGCTTACGGGTATGAATGAACACTCCGATAAGTGCGACATAGACGCAAGCAACAGAGAAGAGAAAGATTTGATCAGGTGTGTGGGTGAGACGGCCAACATTCAGATCGTCCCAGCCAGTGATCCCAGTAAACTCATATACAGGTAAGACCTCAGATTAAAGATGGTCGTACGTTTTGTACTGCACAAAGATTCAATCAGTTTCATTTTGGCCATTTCAAGCCATTTTCGAGCCCTTTCGTTTTGGGGGAAGTTCTACATTAGTATTGTCTTTCAAATTTCATTATGATCTTTAGATAAGATATTTTCCTTCAATAATGAATAATAAAAAATGTAAATTCTGTAGTTTTGTGACCATGATTTGTAAGTCCCTTGAGAGACCGATGCCAGTAAACGGTGAGAGCAAACAGTGGCATGAACAGCCTGCCATAGTTAGTCCAACTTAAAGTTATGAAAACGACCCCAAAGAGTAATAGTTGACCTTCCTCTATGTCTTGTGAAACCAGGTTCTCTGGAAGGACGGTATCCGCCGGGACATCGGCCCTGTTGACGGTGCAGGTCTTGAGCGAGGGCAAAGCTAGGATCACGTCTAACTGCGAGAAGATGGTGATTGGTAACATGCTGGTCAAAGATATCAAGAAGGCTTTAGGAAAGGCGTGATGCTACCCATAGCTTTATTTAGGATTCAATTCAAAATACGTGGTTTATAGGATTTCATTCAGTGGGTGTTGTGGTAGAATATCGTCATTTGTGAAACAGAGTTTTATCCAGCAGTCATTTCTGTTTGGAGCAAGAAGGGCATTAACTTGTGTACTTTAATACAGATATAACACCCTTCTGGCTCTGACTATATCCATTGCTAGCTTTCTCATGTGGGAAAGGGAGGTTGCTCATTTTGCGGGCAAGAGAGATGATTTTGAAAGTATCGACAGCTTTCATGAGTATCAAAAGACTCTGTTTGCCCTGCATTTGCTGAAAAGATTGTACACTGAAAAATGAACAAAAATTTACACAGATTTGCGACACCATAGTGTATTACATTCCTGGCAGGCTCATTATCCTCATACATGTATATCTATTTATATCTCTCAGCCGTTATATCAAATTATTTCAGCAGATATGTTTTATTTGAACTTTCTAACATTCATTGGAAATGTTATATTTTGTGAGACTATATTTGCCATTATGTCACCAAAAAAACCCCATCTAGTTATACCATGATGTGATGAATGTGCATGTTCCTGTTTGATAGCAATGCTATCTCTAAAATGGATTTCAGCAATTAGTACCATGCATTATCCAAGTTAGTCTGAATTTCTGAATTTTCGACCATTATTAATCCATAGTCTCTCATTGGACATGTAGTATATTTCCAAAGATTAGCTAACCTTTCTCTAAAACTTGTTTCAATACACAAGTGTTTCATACAAGTTTTATACAAATATAAAAACATCAGAAATCTTGTTTTCTTGTTACAAAGGAGTCAGCAGGTATGAGTAGGGATGTGTCTTTATATGATATATTTGATATATGCCTAAGATTACAATGTTTTAGATGGCCTGTATTTGAGATGACCTGGGAAAGATTTTTCTTTTTTTAATTAGAACCACTGCTGTGTTTAAGAATTCAAATCTTGCATGTTTAATTATGAGGAAGATATTTGCCTGAATTCACAAAGGGGGTTTACATTTAACCCATGGTTTTATAAATCGTGGGTTATTTAGCCTGGGTTAAATCTAACCCATGGTAATAATCCATGGTCTAAGCTCGGCGTGATGACGTCATATGATGCGTTAAAACGTGGGTTAAATCTAAACCTCCTTTGTGAATTCGGGCCATTATATTAGGGCCTTAACTCACATGCGTTAATGTACTAGTAGAGTCAACGCTTTTCTGGCTCCAAACAGATAACGTGAATGTAAGAGTTTTCAAACAGTATTTCATATTCAATGTCCTGAAAAGCATTCCATGGTACAGTATGAAGCATTGTCTTAATGTTAGTGTGCAATTGAAGTATAATTGAGACTGTCTTGTTTGTGTTACAATCATTTTATTAGCTGTAGTAAGTGTAGTGAGCTATTGTTTATTCTGAAGATCAAAATGTAGCAAAAATTGTGTGATGTATCAAAGGCAAAACACAATAGAAAAGCTAACTAGATTTTAGAACAAAGAATGTTTTTAGTGATTCATTCCTTGTAGAATCGCCTTCATCAATACCGAAAGACTATTCCTCTCAACTCATTAACCTAGCAAATATGTGATGGCAGATCATGGCACTTAAAGGGGAAGTCTGCCCTGATATTAAGTTGGTTTTAATAGAGCAGACAAATTAAAGGAACACGTCAGTAAAAGTTTGAGCAAAATCCGATTAAAAATTCTAAATAAAAATAGAAAGTTATGCATTTTTGAAAGTGCGATCAATCTAACACACATTGACAACTCTGTGACGAATCTAGCAAGTCCATTTGCTCAGTACTTTAACAAAATCTGTTTCTGTATGACCCCTGTATGAAACAAATTTTTTCTGTTCTCAATAACTAAGAAAATGAGGTTGATGAAATTTTCTGTACTAAGCAAATTGGGGAGGACCTCACAAGATACGTCACAGAGTTGCCCGTTTGTGTTTCACTGATGACAAATTCAAAAACTCATAACTTTCCTACGTTTGATCGGATATTGCTCGAAATTTTACTAATTATTTGTTTCTCTTGCCTTTCTGCTTTTATTAATACCAGAACATCATTAAGGTAGATTTCCACTTTAGTCCAAGAATATATTGCCCAAGTTAGAAGCGTAATATCCTCCACAAGGGTAATGGGATTCTGTATCGGATAAAATGTATTCCAGACCCCAATAAAGTAGAACCAGCTAATATCATTGTAATCGATATAAGATGTAGGTCTATTGTGCAGACACCACAAACAAATATGTTTGCCTACAGATCCACCTTGTGTTAGGTTATGCATTCTATTTGTGTCAGGCATTCTAAGCCAAAATATTTGATTGCGATTTGATTTGATTGACCAACAGCATTACAGTAATACATTTCATACACTGTGTTTACATATACAAGAAGAGAAACTATTGGTTGGTAATATTTAGGATGTATACCCATTGCACATCCACTTTGTACCAAGTGTAAATACACACTTTGCACAACTGCCTCAAACATAATTAAGATAAAAATACTGGTATTAATGATAATTTTAATAAGTAAACCAATGGAAAAATTACATATTTACCACAAAAAAGTGGTATATGATGTATTGAGGCACACAACCAATGAATAAAGCATGCAAAATACATTTTCTATTTCAGTGTCAAAATGCCTAAATATGTTTCATATTTATATCCTTTATGGTGATGTTGTGGGTTAAATCTAACAGTGTGCATCGAATGATGATAATCTAGCACCATCATGGATAAACTATTCAAATCCAATAGATTTACATCTATAGACAGTATTAAAAATGCTCAATATTAAAATGGTTGTATCAAAAGCATTTATATTTGCTCGCATCTCATAAAACTACTAGTGAATGAGCTAAGTAGCATACAGATTTAGATTTCATTATTTTAAACTAGTACTACTATTATCTTTGAATTGTAATGTGGTAGCTATCCTTTGTTTCACTTGTAGTTATGATTTTTTGTTTAATGGATGACATTAAATTGCAGAGTACTTATATAAATTATGAATAAATATTGATATCTATGACTTCATACTGTTTCATTGTTTGTTATTAGATAAGAGCTAGCGAAAATCGTAAGACTGAAAGTTTATTTTTTTGAGGATTAATGTTTTGCTTGATTTTTAGCCTGATTGTTAAGAGAATCAAACATGCTGATATTTGTAATAAAAAATGAATAAAATAATATATTCCATGTTGTCAGATAGTTTATAAGATGGTTAGAAACACCACAGACAAGTTCGTAAAGACTTCCAAAATATAAATGCAGGCAAATCCAATAGCCTTGTCCTTCACCTTCTGAATGTGCAAATTAATATTACAGTGATGAATTACGTAATCCGAAAATGATTTCTATGGGATATACACAGGGCAGGGGGCATAGTGCCCCCCCCCCCACTTTTTCAAGTACCCCTAAAGTGACCCTTTTTATATATAAAAATAAGTGCCACCTTTTATTCTAATAGGTGCCCATTACACATTCTTTTAAGTGCCCCCTTCACATATGATAATTGCCCCTTTTACTTTAACAAGTGTCTTTTTCCTTTTTTATAAGTGCCCCTTCCAATTCTCATAAGTGCCCCTTCTCCCCTCTCACAATTTTGACACAAGCCCTTTTTTTTCCTGATAAATGCCCCTTTTCTTTTTTGATAAGAGCCCCTTCCCCTTTTAAAAAAATGCCCCTTCTCACGCCTCTGAGAAATGCCTCTATTGCAATCTGATAGGTGCCCCTTCACCTCTTTATAACAAGCGAGTTCGTAATTAGGATTTGCGCATGGGCAGATAAAGGTCATACGTTCCCAAATAGTAAAACCAGCGAGACGAATGCTGGTATCGTGCTCCTGAAAGTTTTGTAATCGGTACTCTCTTATGCACCGACAGTACATTTATCTGATACACAGGTGGAAGTATTCTTCTCAAGAGGCAAACAAAAGGTATTCATGAAGCACCTCCATCACTTCGGCAGTGATTATTCTAAAATGCACAAGTGGGACGTTTCCATCGTGTAAAAGATCTGTGGATATTTGGGGGTCATGCGTTCCGAAGCTATTTACGAACTGGCTAATTATTAACTCTTTTCAAATTCGAGAGATGCCCCTTATGTTTAATACGCACGCATTTTATATTACATTTTTTTGTTTCGTATCGAAGATCTTTTCAATCTTTCATGAGTAGGATTATTTTTTCCTCTTTTAAAGATGTAATTTTTGGCATTGCCACCACACAAATCTTAAAATTTGTGCTCGCTCGCAAATAAATATTTAAACCATCACACAAACTGCAAAGTATGGACCATGTGAAGAGAGAAGCAAACAATAAAATCATTCCTGATAATCAAACAACAATGTACAATGGGTATAAGGGCCTTTATACCGATGTATATAAATTCTATATTTTCGCTTTGAGGTTTCCCTTTGTAGGTGCCCTTTCTTTTCCAGAAAGTCTCCTTTTTTGTTCGTCCTCCCCCCCCCCCCCCATTTAAAAATCACTCTGCCGCCCCTGCTCCTCGGCCAATATGTTGAGGCGCTATTCACTTCCCCCTAATTCTAAGAACGTCCTCACTTCAATATTAAAGGATTCCGACATCGGAAGATAACCCCACTCTGGCCGAGAGCCAATAGATCTGTACCAGTACTGCATCGAATGTTTAAGAGATGCCTATATAGTCAAACTTATCAGAACAGCCCATACCGGAAACAACAACTCTTCAGACTTCTTCGTATATACAGAGCAACACCATACACCACAACGATCATATCCCCAAGCCTAGCTCTCAACGTTAGATATAAAGGCCCGAATTCACAAAGGAGGTTTGTCGACAAACCTCCTTTTGTTTCGCCAAACCTCCCTTTGTTCTTTACAAACTAGGTTTGTAAAAAACGCGTAAAACGCGTCATATGACGTACGAAAACCAAGGTTTGTCGACAAACCTCCTTTGTGAATTCGGGCCAAAGTGTGTGATTTACCCACTGACCTCTACTTTTACCACGTACAAGTTACACAACCCTAAGCAGAAACAGGTGAACAGAGAAAGATGAAAAACAAATGTAACACCCCTATTAGGGTACAGGGGATCTAGAATTTAAAAAAAATGAAGAGAAGATAACTGTTGCTTGTGATGAAATTGGTGTCAGCATGTAGAATGACTTTTATTACTCTTAATACCATCGCAATAAGCAAGAATAATCATATTTAAAAGTAATCAATATACAAATGACGATCATGAACTCGTGTTCATTCTTTAGTTTTATACAACGATAAAGCAAGATCATATCATTCTGCATGAGCTAGATCTTCTTTGATAATAAAACCTAATCTATAACCTATAAGTTTATAAACAGCTTAAACATTATGTTTATAATACAATGAAATATAAATTCCGACTAAACGTTTCCTGGCGTAAACTATATCACGTAACGTACATAAAGGCTAAGTAGATCACAGGAAATATAAATGGTTTAATTGCGGTTCCAACAAATTCAATTAATAGTTAAGTATCTCATCTATGAAAACATGCGTTGCAATTCTGGTAAATAAATGATGCACTCATTTATCTTTTCTTCTAAAGGTTAAGCATAGAATATATCCTTGAATATATGTATAATCCTTACGTTAAAAAACCCCAAGCAATTCCAATTTACTTGGGCACCCACAAAACATAATAAGCAAGATAAAACTATTTGCAAATATTGAACTATAACAGCTTTATGTTCTCTCAAAAACCCACAAGGACAATTAAATACATGTAATGATTTTTTTGAATCATCTGAACATAGACTTAAGATTTAATTTGTTTTCCCTCTTTAATAAATCATCTTTATTCAATATTGCTTTCGACTTTACAAAACATAACAAAACATATATGAATATACAAACATAATATAACCAATATAATCAACAAAAAGAATATAGCTGATTATACAAGATAAATATTGTTTTAAAGCAACACAATGTTTTTCTACCTATAATCAAATGATACAAATTTGTTATTTTTAGCATATTATGTATTGTTAAAAAAAAACGGTAATACCTTTACATGCATTTAAAAGAATTTAGTGAGAGTACGCTATTTTTGCATTTGTTATAAAATATATAGTATTTGGCATATCAAATAATAACATTAAATTGAACTCCAACGTTTCCATAAAACCCAAATGAGAAATTAATTTTATTCAAAGTAACTTTATCCTCTAAAATGAAATGTTTGACATCCGCAATAAACCTGACGGATACCGGCGCTAAATAAAGAACCATATTATTTATTATTATTTATTTCTAATGATTGGGCAATCTCAAAATAAATGTTCTATAGATTCCATACAGCTATAAAAAAATGAACATAAGTCTGACTGCGAAATATTTAATAAATTAAGATATTTATTAACACCAACTATACGATGTATTATCTTAAACTTAAACGTGTAGATAAAGTTTCAAGTTTTCAAGTTTCAAGTTTTATTTGTCTTCCAGAAAACACATGTGACAAAATATAATAGAGTATAATCATAACAGAACAATAACAGTACAATGTAGAATAGAGAAAGACGAGGAGACCTTGGTTGAAGCACAGCTTGTTAAGTTAAGGCCCCCTCATATGATGTGACAAAGATAACTGATTCATGAATACAACAACAAATATGGAATATATAAAACTATTTACAAAATACTCTCAGAGAACAACTACCCAACGATGCATCGACCACAGCATGGATGACTACAACAAGTATACCAGAAGATGCGCACATCCCCATCACACCGGGTGAGCTAACAAGCTCACTGTGTGTGTGAAAAAAATGTATCATATGAGCAAAAAATCAACCCACCCATGGGAGGGCGATCTAATATGGACAAACCCAAGCTGACACCAAGTCGAGACATTGATGAGTTATTGCTCTCTGAGTGCAGAGGTCAAGAACGACAAGTAGGAATATATGGTATATGTACAGATGACAAAGAAGAAGAAAAAAAGAAAAGGGATAAAAGGGGATTATGTCAAAGTCAAGAAATAACAAAAAAATAGATCGAGAGTAGAGTTTAATATGCTACAGTACACGAAAAATGAAGCTTGATAACACATTCATGTGTCATCGACATACTTGTGAAGTAAATATGACTTAAGTCTACGTTTAAAAACTGAGATACTTGAAGCATTTGTTATAGTAGTATCAAGTGAATTCCAGAACCTGGGGCCAGTGGACATTAGAGTATTCAGAGTGAATGTTGTCCTTGCATATGGTAAATGGAGAGCAGAAGCCTGTCTAGTATTATAGCTGTGAATTTGGTTATTTCTTCTAAAGATTTGAGCAAGGGCAGGAGGGAGGTCCCCAGAGTGAATGCTAAACATGAGCGTTCCAAGTTGCATTGAATAGAGATCTTCTAGTTTTAGAATACCGTTTTCATAATAAAGTAGATTTGTATGTGCACGATAATTCGCCTTACAAATTATTCTAATAACCCGCTTCTGCACAACAAAGAGCCTGTGGATTTGAGTTTTGGATGATTTGCCCCATGCCAACATACCATAATTAATATATGATAAAATAAGAGTAGAGTACAAAATGAACAATACCTCTTGAGGTATACATGATCTCAACTTATAAATAACACCAGTATTTCTTGACACCACTTTACTTAATTTGTCCACATGAGTTTTCCAATTCAGTTTCTCATCTATGTAAATCCCAAGAAATTTTGCTGAAGTTACTCTCTCAATTGGGTTATTATTAAATGCCACTTCGCCCGGCAAAATATTAACTGAATTACTGAACAGTATATAATTAGTTTTCTGAAGATTCAAGGATAACTTATTAGCATTAATCCACTTCATTACTTTTCGAAACTCTTCATTAACAGTATTCAACAATATTTGTGGACATTTATGAGAAAAAATACACTTGAGTCATCAGCAAAAAATATGAATGATAATACACTTGATGAGCGTTGAAAATCATTAATATACAATATGAATAAAAGTGGTCCCAAAATGGAGCCCTGGGGAACGCCACATGTTACTTTTTGGGGGCAAGAG